GCATTGAGTCGATGGTGGCCCTCGCGCCCACCATTCCACGGGTCAGCCCTCCCTTGAGTCCGATCTCCACATCGACTCCAAGTGTGCCTTCATTTAAGTTGCTTTGGGTCGCTCTCCCACTTGATCTCGCAATGCATCCACCAATGCATTCTCTCAAGCGAGATCATGCGACGACTCCTCACCGCTTGCTTAGTCCATCGAGCTTCGTGGAGTTGTTGTTTATTGAGGTACTCCTCCTCAACATGTGAGGTCCGTCTCACATGATTCTCCCTCTGGAGAGCCGGGACTTATCCCTCCTGGATAACTATCCCGTTGGAGCAACATCTCTCTTCGTTTGGGAGACCACTATCCCCTTGGACTACTCCGATCCGTTGAACAAACTGTGCATTGTTTCTGCCTCCTGCAAACGCACTTGCTAGATTGCGACTCCCCGTCAATACAGTCCCCGCTGCACCCCTCAAGGCCTAGCAACATGCTGAACTCGTTGCACACTTCAGCCTCCTTCGGACGTATCCTTCACATGCCGAAGAGAAAGTTTCAATGCTCCATGGCGCCGAGTTTCGATCGCCTTGGGATGGCCACGAACATTCCATCGTCCGCATACAAGCCCATGCATGAGTACCAAATTCTTCGAGTTAGCAATTCCCCTCACCTCTGTGAGCTTTGCATAACTCTTTTGGTCGTTGAACAACTCGTTCCACCTTGGATGGTCTCATCCTTTACCAAGCGCCTCGCTTGCCTTGAGCACCATCAAGTATGGTTGTCAACATTGAGCCGTAGCTCAAACTCAGTCATCCCAACCTTTGTGCGCTCCACATTCTTCCAAGCTTGCCTGTTCTCGTGGTGCCTCGTGCGTGAAGGGTTGGCCATTCCTCTGAATGTCAATCTCAAATGCCCGCTCCTCTGAGCGACTCCTTTTCCCTACATCTCCATGCCCGTTTTCCCTCAAACGGTCGCGCGTGTGCTGACTGCCCTCAACGCAACCCCGCTAGGTCCCCCACGTTTGCATGCTAAGTGTTTCTATGAGTGCTTGTCCCGCTCTGATACCATCTGTCACAGACTTAGCTGGATTTGCCTAAGTCGTGCGGCACCCTTGCGTGTCCGTCCGCAAAGGTCAGCCTTCTCGAAGCCTCCCATTGTCCCTTAAGACCAACAAAAGAGAGAACGGGTTAGAGAGAATGCCTCAATCGGGATCCACAAGCAAACATCTCCGAAAAACACTTCATAGACAATGCAAATTACAAACAGACTTTACAAGCTCTGAACAATGGCACAACAAAGGGTAAAATGGTCCATTACAGACCGAGAATCTTTCGTACGTGTCCACATGACACAACCTTTATTTACAAGCCTAAAGAGGCCACCAACCCAACTAAAATGGGACTATTAAGCCTTCGGTCGCCCCTCTATATGTTGTACAAGGCATGAACATGCCAAAAGACACGGACATACATAAGCATTACATCAAACATCTTGTTTAGAAGTTTGTCCGTGACAATACGCTCGCCTGAGCGAAACGATGTGCTAAAATATAAAAATATATAATATAATTAATAAATATAATTATTTAAATAAAAAATATACTATTAAATTAAGAAAATCGAATACAAAATCACAATGTCACATTAATAAAAAGTCTCAAAAATCAAAACAATAAAATTTTACATCAAATCTATTGAGTTGCTCTATACACTTTCCATTTATTCTGAAACCTAACAATAATTTTAAATAAATAAAAATTAATAGTATTAAAATCAAAATAATATATTATTAATCTAATAAATAAAAATACTATTATTAGTATACAGTTAACAGTATACTGTTAATATACTGTTAATAGTATAGTGAGAAGAGTGTGAGAAGACTGAGACTGCTGAGGCAACGACAACGATAGCAGGCGACAACCGTAGCTGGAGCGGGAGCAGGAGCGATGACAGCGGGAGCGACGAACAGCAGGAGCTGCGAGCAACGGTAGGAGCGGCGAGCGACAACGGGAGCGGCAGTAGCAGCGACGAGCAACGATTGTGGCAATGACGAGTAGCGACAGTAGCAGCGAGCAACGACAGTGGCAGTGGCAACAGAGAGCAGGGATAACGGAGGAGAAATCTCGACGACAAAATCATGAGTGTTAGGGTTGGGGAAGTCGAGGAAATCACGAGAGGAAGCCTGATATCGATGATTTAGTTGGTTCGATTGAACCAACTAAAGCACCGGAGACCAACCAGACCTAAAAATCTGGTTCGATCGCCTGGTTTAACCCAAGCGCTCGCCCGAAGCGCCCGACACTTGGGCTCGGGTGAGCGCCCAAGCACCTCTTCGAAGCGCGCCGTCTGGAAATGAAGCGAGGTGCTCGGGCCTCGCCTCGTCTCGCCCGAGCGCCTAGGCGAGTGCCCGAGCACCTATTGTAATCATTGCTTCTAACACCCGAGAAAATAAAAGAAAAAACTACAGAAAAACATAATGGACACGAAAATGCAATAATGGTAACCCTAGACTAGACATAATATGGTGTGCTAAGTGAAAAGAACTAATGGCATGGTACAGCAACACAAATGGAAGATATTAAACATAAAAGTAAATGCATGTCACTTATGTCCAGGAAATTATGCAACAATTTAACGGAGAAGTGTGTGAGGGGAAAGTGGCCCATAATTAACCACTAAAACTGCTGAAGAAATAAATACGTTCCATGGACTAGGAATATAAAATGTAACTTTTAGGCTTAATGTGAAATCAAACACTTATTTCACAGTTCACATGCATGAGAAGCTTTTCAGCAAAAATAACCAAACCACATTTCATGTTCTGAGACAAGTCCTTGAAGCCACAACTTTATGCCCACTAAGCAATGTCCAAGTTGGATAATTGCTGGCCTCAACATAGTCTAGATTTCAATATCTATGTCTCAACTGTTCTCCTGACAAGATTAAATGGTACTACTCATTCCAACCAATGAACAAGAGACAGGGGAAACGAAAACATTAAAGCTATGGCCATCCATTAGATGAAACAGCAATAGATCAAGCTTGCAAAGCCCTTTAAGTTTGAAGCCACTCAACTTTTTCACTCAAACTACTCCAGATAGTACTACAGTGTAATTACTGCAGATAAAACTGTGCCTAAATCAGGTAATTGTCTAAAACAAGAGCAAAGAAGCAGTACTTAGTTGCTAAAACAAAAAAGATGAGAACATCTGAACACAAACATTGCTGTCAGTGGGAAAATTCATCCATGGTTACACATTATAATTGTAATGTATACACACAAGTGATTAGTTCAACGTATCGTGCATATATTTTCACCATCAGCAGGTCACCAGTCATTACCTCCTTTGGATTCAGCAGGTAATCGTACAAAGAATTTTCTTCCCATATCACATCTATGTTCTTGCTTGCGGTGGAATAGGAATAACCAGGAGTTGTCCCATATTGCTTCCCAAAAAGGCCATGAAGATTAGGACCTATTAATGACGAGAAAGTTGGGGGAAAACACATCAAGTCTGCTACTTGAAACAGTAACAACCATTGGGGAAAAACTTAATTGAAAAAAAAGCAAAATTTACAAGAAACAAAGAAACAAGGATGATAGTTCAGAAGTAAAATATGGCAGACAAGAAGCAATTAAAAAACTAACCACGCCTTTTGCAAAATCATTATTTTCATGAAAAACTACATGTGCACATATCATGAGTAGCTTTTGATCAGTCCATTGTTCTATGTTGTAAACTCTTTATACTTCAAGAATAAGTAGTTTGAACTTATTAATTTCCATAAATGTGCTTGCCTCTGAATCAAAATAAGCCACAAACAAAAGGTTTCCATTAAAAACTGTTGGAATAACTCGTTAGAGGTTGAAATCCACCCCTAGAAGGTAGGCAGGATAAACTGTGGCGCTAAAAGGGCCTACAGAAGCATCAACTTATCCACTCTTATTCAGAACAACATTACTGAACTAGGACCTATGTCGATTCATACCCACATGTCAACCATGCTTCCTAGTTCTTCCTCCTCCCTCCCAGCTCCAAGAAACCTCTGCTGAGAAAATACAAGTTATCATTGGATAAAGTGCAAATTATCTCTGTCAGCAAACAGAAGGCTTTCAATCCACAATATTTCTTTACAACTGTCCGTACACTGAAAATGTTTTTGACACTGCTAGAAATTTCCCAAAATCTTATATCTACTGTTCACAAAAATGATCTTGCACAAGTTCAGTATCGTTTCCCATAGACTAATTACTGCTTAGCGAACATGAGGTACGTACGTTTGGGCCTTACTGCCTTCCTAACGAATGAAAACAGGAAGACATCATGAACATTTCACCGAAAAAGAAAAAAAAAATCCTAAAGAACAACCAGAAAACAGATAATGAACATTCCAATTTTGATGGGAACTGCTGAGAATGAGTATAACGTATAAAGACTCGAAAAATATTAGAGACGACAGAAAAAGAAAGTAAAAGAGATAATATTATGGATCAAACAGAATCGATGGCCAAAAAGGAGAAATAGTAGATATACAGATTCAACTAAAAGTGACAAATTTAGGGTCTAGACGAAGAAAGAAAAGGAAAAGAACAAAAGAGAAAATAATATATATTTGGAATCATATCTTGATCCAATACGGATCAAACAAAATCAAAAGGCCAAGAAAGCGAAAAAGGTGGAATTTACAGAACCGAGGGCAAAAAAGGACAGGAACACGTTTTCAAATCAGGGATCTACCATGCTTGTGGCCAGCTCCTTTCTCGACGGTGTGGCAGTGGGCACATTTGGACTGGAAGATCTTGTGCCCGGACTTGGCATCGCCGGGCGGCGCATCCTCGAACGACGCCATCCGACCGAGCGAGCGAGGTCTCCGATCGATCGAGCTAAGGGTTAGGGTAGGTGCCTCTCCCTCCTCTTGGTTTCAGCAAAATGCTTGGGGAGGACTGCTTCGGCAATCCATTTTCATTTTCTACTAACACGTTTCCCGCTTTGCCTGCCCACGGAGAAGGGAGCAGCAGCCAAAGGGTGAAGCGGGCGCGCAGGAAACCGGGTGGGATCCAAACAGCAGCGCCCATCGGAGAGATATAAGAGGGGGGAAGCGGGTGCGGAGGAAACCGGATGGGATCCAAACAGCAGCGCCCATCGGAGAGATGTAAGAGGGGGGAAGCGGGTGCGGAGGAAACCGGGTGGGATCCAAACAGCAGCGCCCATTGGAGAGCCTGTAATTATTGCTATTCCGGTATTGACGCTATCAAAAATTATATTAAGATTTCTAAGTAAAATATTTAATTTTATATCTCTTCACATCATTAATTGATAAAATTAGAACTAAATATTTTAATATAATTTTTAAAATATAATAATTGAAATACTAAAAATAACTAATTATATAAGTTAACTATAAATAGTCCGACGACGATTAAAGCCCGAGCTTTATTTATCAAAATTGTTACCGTATGCATCCAAAGTTAATTTAAAACCTTAGGTAAATATTAACGAAAAATATATATTTTAGATATTTCTAAAATATAAAAATTTACTATTCATAGTATTGATAATCTTTTATTATTGTTCTTTTTAAAATAATAATAAAATATTTTTTATTTTTTATTTATAATATTAATATTATTGATTTCTTTTATAATCATTATCCTTATTGATGTGACTCAAAATTGTTTGACCCTACTCTCACCCCCTCGTGTAATCCTTCGAGGAGGATAAAGGAAAAAGGAAAAATAATAATATTTTATATTTAATTATAAATTTAAAAAAAATTAAAAATTAAATTATAAATAATAATCTTTAAAATATATTTTCAATTTAAAAGTTTTCTAAATGGTCTCTTCTCATCCATTATTTCTTTTCCACTTTATTTCGACTTACCTTTCTTTCTTCCGTCTCATTGCTTGTAATCTCCTTTCCTTCTTTTTCTATCCTCTCCCCCTTCTCGTTCCTTGTTACCCTCCTTCTCCTCTTCTTCTTCCTTGTCTATCTTTTTCTCTCTCTCCATTTTTGCTATGTATTCTCTTTCCACTCCTCCCCTCTCCTTCTCTCGTGAACGATGGCAATGACGAAGGTAACGTGTTATCACACATTTAGTTAATTTTGTCTAAATCATGCGACACCCTTATATGTCCATCCATAAATGTCAGCCTCTCCGAAACCTCCTATGGTCCCTTAGGACCTACAAAAGAGAAAACAAGTTAAATAAAACGTCTCACTCGGGATCCACAAGTAATCATTTCAGTAAATACTTCGTAGCCAATACAAATTACAAACAGACTTTACAAGTTCTAAACGATCGCGCAACAATGGATCCAAAATAGTCTATTATAGACCGAAATCTCACACAAGTGTCCAAATAACACAACCTTTATTTACAAGCCTAAAACGGCTACCGAACACAACTAAAATGAGGTTGTTAAGCCTTCGATCATCTTTCTACATGCTATGTAAAATATGAACAAACAAAAAAAACTCGGACATATATAAGCATTACTTCGAACACCCCATTTATAATTTTGTCCGTGACACTACGATGAAAGAGGAAGATTATTTTTAATTTTTTTTAATTAGAGTATAATTAAAAAAATCAACGTACTGTTTGAAAAATATTTAAAATGTGAATATATATAACACTCAAATGAAGTAATTATATATGATAAATGATGGGAGATCGAGGCAATCCACGTGAATGATTAGGTTTGAAATATAAATATATCGAGATGACCTGTTTCCTCCGGGAGGATGTGAGGATGAATGCAGAGACAATTCGCAAGAGTAAAATTATCAAATTTGTTAGGATCGAGAGCACTAAGAGGGGGGGGGTGAATTAGTGCAGCGGATATTTTTCAGCGATTAAAACCAAAAGCTGCGTTCGTTCGATAAAGACTATTTTGATGCAAAAGCCGATTCTAAGATTACTTATGATTAAGTGCAGTTTACGTTTAAACACAGTTAGCGTCAAAACGCGGTTTGCGTCTAAATGCAGATTGCGTCTAAGCGCAGTTTGCGTCTTAGCGCAGATTGCGTCTAAACGCAGATTGCGTCTAAGCGCAGATTGCGTCTAAACACAGTTTGCGTCTAGGAGCAGTTTAAGCAGAAGTATAAAGACAATGTTTTGCTGTTGTACAGCTCAAAAAGTAATCTGCAAAAAAAATAGATTTACGTCTAAACGCAGATTTACGTCTAGACGCAGATTTACGTCTAAACGCAGATTTACGTCTTAAACGCAGATTTGCGTCTGAACTTTGAAACTCGTTTGTATACTCGCAGAAGGCAGTATGCAGTTGAAATCAAGACGTAAACGTGAACTGAGATATGATTTGTGCG